CTCTGAGCCCTGGGTCCCCTGGCTCTTGGATCTCTAAGGAGGTGCTAATTTAGCCTCTTCCTGAGGCTACCCAGCAGGAGCTACAGAGAGATCTGCAGATTCCTCTTCTTTGTTTGAAGTTTGGAGGTGCCCAGATGAGGCCCAGCTGTGAAGCAATGCAAGCTGCTGTGGGGCCTTGGGCCTTCTTTTGGATGTTCTGGGTCTCTCTGACCCAGCTGCAGTTAGTTAGGTAATTTTAGATTGCATAGGGCCAGGGCATTCATATGCAAAAGCCTCTGAGCACAACTTGGGTGAGGCAGGGTTTCAGGGAATCAACAGGTGGAGGAAACAGCTATGGCTAATCCTCAGTCCTTCCTTAAGTTGCCCAAGGTCTCACTGTTTTGCGCTAATTGCTGCAAGCACTTCTGAGAGAAAGCCGTCCTCAAGTTCTGCCTGATGCCTGACAGTCCAGTTTCTCCCCATATGAGTCTTGGTCCCCAGAGACTCCCCTGGATATGGCATTCATAACAGTGGGGAGCTTGTGTCTCCCTCCCGAGTGAGAAAGACAGCCGCATACTCAGTTGTGAGCCATTGCTGCATGCGCCTCTGTACCTCTTCACTTTACTTCCACACCTCTTCTGAGTCTTAGTGTGCTTTTCTCTTTCCTTCTAGTTGTAGAATTTACACTCGGCCAGCCTTCCTGTTGTTCTGGATGGTGTCTGTTTTGTCTTTTAGTTGTATTCTTGAAGTGGTTGTGTGAGGCAGCAATTTCTGGTGTTTACGTATGCCACCATCTTGGTTTCCCATAATCTCTATATCTTTTCTGTCATTCTTCATTTGTTACCAGAGTAATATTTAACTTTTGTAGGATATTTTGGGTCTCACTTATGAAGTAACAAACTTCATAAGGAGGAAATACAATAAATGTGAAAATAGACTACACTGAACACGTGGCCATCTTGTGGAAGCCATCTTGTGATGACATCACATCAGGACCACCTAGGCTTTTATTAGTATATATATTGTCAACAAAAAGCTTGCTTTCAATTCTATATTCTTAAGACTGTGCTATCGACAGTTGTGATCATGAGTCCTTGTGCACGTGAAATATACACCTGTTATTAAATCCTTTATTGAAACAATCCCTTCACCAGGAGATTCACAAGCATTTTCCTTTTAAACCTTTGATAGAAAACAACTAGCTTCTACCACTTTAAGTGAATGCAGCACTTGTTTAGGATGCAGATTTCCAGGCCAATGCAGCTTTGGTTCAGTAGGTCTGGGCTTCAGCCTAAGAAATTACTTTTGTAAGATCCACTCTAGGTGATTCCTTGAACCCCATTTGAGAAGCATACCCCTGTGAGATGCTGTACCACTTTGCACACAACTGCTTCCATTTTGAAAAATGACTGGCTTTCCTAATAAGGAAATATCACCTCTTACCTTTTATCTGTGCCGTTAGTTAAACTCGCAGGGAGAAAACTGAATAGCAAACACCTGGGGTGAAAGGTGCACATCACCTGGCAGTGATGGGCGCTCAGGGTGTACATGGCAGTCACATCCCTGCCTCTGAAGAAGACATTCTCATATAGTTGAGGTAGGCACCCTGTGATATTATCATTGAAACAGCACACATTAATTTGGAACAAATGCAAATAATGCTTTTAATAGAAATGTATCTGTGTTCTGATCCATCTTTTTTAATTTTTTTAAATATATTTTATTGATTTTTTTACATAGAGGAAGAGAGAGGGATAGAGAGTTAGAAACATTGATGAGAGAGAAACATGGATCAGCTGCTTCCTGCACACCTCCTACTGGGGATGCGCCCACAACCAAGGTACATGCCCTTGACTGGAATCAATCCTGGGACCTTTCAGTCTACAGGCCGACGCTCTATTCCCTAAGCCAAACCAGTTAGGGCATGATCCTTCTTAATTCCTCTATGGAATACCCAAAGATCTGTGCAACATGACTTTAAGTATAGGGGCAAAATAAAACATATTAAGGCCACTATTTGAACAAATTATGATTAAAAGGCATTTTATGGGTACTTCCATATGAAAAAACACTGGGGTGCATTTTTATTAAATCATATAATAATTTTCACATAAATTATTGCCAAGAAAACTCACTCCTAGCTTGGCTTCTCCCTGTTGCCTGACATGCTATGAAAATACCATGTCTTAAAAATAATGATGTATGGTCTCTTTTCAAAACACTTTCTTAACAAACATCCCCCTCTCACAAGAGTTCTGTAAGGGAAGCTGGAGACATGCTTGG